CTCGTTGTGGCGATTCACTCACTTGGAGGTTCACGCGCTAATTGGCATCACACGCCAAACTCTCAATATGGTGCCGCATAACCAACACAAGATGATGATCACACAAGCCACGAGCAATTCACTACAGTACATTTTAGCTCTCCGTCGGGGAAAGGTCAAGAACCCCTCACAATCACCACGATCGGAGTCGGAGACAATCACCAACCTCCGCTCGACGATACTCGCTGCTCCAAGCCGTCTAGGTGGCGGCAACCACCAAGAGTAACAAGCGAATCCCACAGCGAAACACGAACACCAAGTGCCTCTAGATGCAAACACTCAAGCAATGCACTTGGATTCTCTCCCAATCTCACAAAGATGATAAATCAATGATGGAGATGAGTGGGAGGGCTTTGGCTAAGCTCACAAGGTTGCTATGTCAATGCAAATGGCCAAGAGAGTGAGCTTGAGACGGCCATGGAGCTTAAATAGAAGCCCCCACGAAATAGAGTCGTTGTACCCCTTCACTGGGCACAACACGGGGTGACCGGACGGTCCGGTCAGATTGACCGGACGCTGGGCCTCAGCGTCCGGTCCTAGCGTCCGGTCACGCGATGCATGTCACGTGTCCCTTCTCTTCAAATGTTGATCACCCGATCTCAACGGTCAAGTGACCACCGGACACAGCAGCTCAAAGTGACCGGACGCTGAACCCCAGCGTCCGGTCATTTTCAGTAAGTATCCAGAGACGACTTTTCACGACCGGACGCGTCCGGTCATGCTCGACCGGACTCACCCAGCGTCCGATCACACGGTGACTCTTCTGCGCGCGGCCACATCAGCAGGACTGGACGCAGCCCTCCAGCGTTCGGTCACTGAGTGACCCAGCGTCCGGTCAGATACCGACGCCAGCGTCTTCATGCCTCACCTGACCGAACGCGTCGGTCCTACCGAGACCAGCGTCCGGTCACTCACAGTGACCTCTGTCTTTTCTGTTTAGGGCGTCGGTGAAGTTCCTAACCCTTGATCAAATGTGCCAACCACCAAGTATATCACCTTGTGCACATGTGTTAACATATTTTCACAAATATTTTCAAGGGTGTTAGCACTCCACTAGATCCTAAATGCATATGTAATGAGTTAGAGCATCTAGTGGCACTTTGATAACCGCATTTCGATACGAGTTTCACTCCTCTTAATAGTATGGCTATCGATTCTAAATGTTATCACACTCACTAAGTGTCTCGATCACTAAAATAAAATGGCTCCTACCATTTATACCTTTGCCTTGAGCCTTTTGTTTTTCTCTTTTTTCTTTTCAAGTCCAAGCACTTGATCATCACCATGGCATCACCATCATCATGTCATGATCTTCATTTGCTTCACCACTTGAAATGTGCTACCTATCTCATGATCACTTGATAAACTAGGTTAGCACTTAGGGTTTTATCAATTCACCAAAACCAAACTAGAGCTTTTAATTGGGCATCAGACGGACATCCAAAGTAAGGGTAGACGGATAGTTTAGTTTAAAATAACAAGAACAAAAACACAAAGTTGAAAAAACAGGAGCAAAATCACAATTAAAGTACTGGACAAGGGCAAGAACATAATTTTCTCTTATATTTATAATACGTGGTTTCTACGTGTTCAGGCGGAATCTGTGACAAATCCGTCCATCAGGTACGGATTAAGTAGGTCCGACCACGTATGTGTGCTCTGCAGAGTTATTACACGTAAAACGGTGGAAGGTTTTCAAGGCCACGTCTGTAAGACTTACGTTCCTGACCGTACACACTTGCTCCGGTCCACGTGCGTGCAATTTGCTCGGCGGCTTGGTTTCATTCGACGGGCCAGTAAAATGCTACAGGTCGATCGAGATACGTATCTCGTTGCAGGTTGATGAACTAGCTAGAGACGATTCCTTGATCTATGCTAGTGATATCTGTTTTCAAACCCCTATATGACACATGGGCCGGGCCCATTGTGTCTCTGACGTGTGGGCCCCATGGGACATTACGGGTACCATATTTCACCCCAGCCATTTGACGACGTATCTAAGACACGATCGACATATAGAATACATCTTGTACCTGGAGCCCTCCAAAAACACAGAACTTGGACGCCTATCGAAGTTAAATTAAATTGGAACCACGCACAAAGGTGGAAAAGCTAGAGAAACTGTAAAAAGAAAAAAAGAAAAAAGGTAGCACCTCCTATTCTAAATTATAGGTCGTTTTAGCTTTTTCAAGCTCATAGTTTTTGCTATTGCACCTAAATATACGATACGTTTAGACACATAATAAAAATTATATATTTAGAAAAAACAAAATAACATATAAATTGGGAAGGAGGGAGTACTAGATACTTCAAAGTTCATTCAAAGTGGGCCAACACCTATATCGGCAGGATTTTGTGACAAAGTGATGACACCAAACCAAGTGTGGTGTTAACAACGGTGGTAGGCTGTAGCACCAGTCCACCACACGTAAGTTCCTCGGTCGATCGCGTCCATCGACCTCATGCACATCATTAAACCCTCAAGCAACTAGTAGAAAGAAGGAGGGGGGCCGGGGGGCAAGCTGCCGATACGTGTAAGGGAAAAGAAGGTGCACACACGGCACATTCCTTGACCACAAACGCAGAAGCCAAATTGCACAAGTTGGGAGCAGAATATATTACCCTGCCGCCTTTTAACCTTTCTACATCCATCTCCTGCTGCTACTCGATCGCTCGCTGCTGTTCGTTTCCTTCTCTCCTAGTCACATCGCTCTCCAAGATCTAGATAGAGAGAGAGAGAGGGACGTGCATGCACGGAGCCCGTCCCGGCCCAGCGCGTGTGATAGTTTATGTTATCCACCGATCACTATTCAGTGTCGCCACGACGCCAATTTGGCAGTCACTTGGGCACGGCAGCGTGCGTGCATGCACCTGAGCCGATACAATATATACGTGCAACTTGCCGCGCGGTGTGTGCGCGCTCATGCCGTAATTCATGTGGGTGCACTTTATTAGTTTGCAGACTTTCTGAGATCGTTGAGGGGAAAATGTACATACTATATACTACTCCGTACTACTACTTTTGTGTTCACGCACCCTTGATAGTTTGTTGGTCGACGAAACTTATTCCTTCATGCCATTGTATTGACAAGTACGTGCTCATGCACTCCATTTGGGAATTAGATCATATCATTCAGTTTTAGGATTGTCATCCGGTTAGCCTTTTAACTTTGTTCATGAACAACATGCATGTAAAGAAGAAGTACTACTATATAAGCTAGATGACATATATAGTGAAATAGATGTTTATTAAATATCCATACATCATGGGGAAAAACCCGGAAATGATAAAATAAAAACGCGAAGGATATCCGCTCGCTGCCCGCACCCCCCTCTCTCCGGCGAGCACCTCACCGGCAACTTCCTCCCCGCGCCTGCGCTCGCGCCCCACCGCCTCCCCGCGCAGGTAGGCCTCCTCCTCTCTCCTCCTGGATCTGCTTTCTAGGGTTCCAGCGACTTCCTCCCCGAGCCCGCGCCCCACCGCGTCCCCGCGTGCGGCCACGGCGGATGTGGCGATGGCGGATCCATGCCAGGTAGGCCTCCCTCTCTCTCTCTCTCTCTCCTCCTCCTAGATCTGCTTTCTAGGGTTCCGGCAAACTCTCCTCATGTCTTCTCCAACTCCAGTGGGTATAGAAGAAGGGGCCGGCCGGGGGGAGGAAGGTCGACCAGACGGTGGGGATGGCCCGCGGTGGCGGAGAGGGGGGGGGGAGGTGGCGTCGCGGGCGAGCTAGGGTTTCGTCGGAGCTCTGGCGAAACCCTAGCTCGCCGTGGTGGGGGCGAGGGCCGGAGTCGGAGAGAAATAGCTACTGAGTTTTTTTTTTGTTTCTTTGCAACTAAAAAATGCTGTTTGAGGAGGTGTGCGCTCTGGAAGTTCAAATTCTGGGCGCGCCCAAAAAAAACATTTGCATAATATTTGGTCGTCTAAAATGTCTTGTTCTCATACAAATTATCAGTCAAAGTGTCACCTCGTAGCCGTGACTATCGGCCGATATATCCTATCCTAGGCATGTTAGCTGTGTCCTTCTCAGGCCGATGCAACCTCTACACGCCGCGGTTAACTAATATATGGTATTTACTGTGCATGCACCACAAGTTTGGCATCTGGTTCTCTCGTTCGGTCACGCCTTTTTTCCTTTCTTTGTGTGATGAAGCGGACAGGCATGGTAGTATTTACTGTGCAGGCACCGCGCGGCGCGGCCGGATTTGATGCCCATGCCCGCGCCGCGCGGACGGAAAGGGAAAGGGAGAGAGGGGGGAGCGAGCGCGTGAATGCTAAGCGATCCCTGTGGGTTGTGGCGCTTGGCCAAGCTTGCACGGAACAAGCTCCCTTGCAAAAGCTGTGGCCAGCAGTGGCCCGGCCCAAAAAAAAGGAGAAGAGCTTGTCTCCTCGCCAACAACACATTAGTCCATTTGCCAGTTCCGGGACCCGGCCCACAAAATTAGGCTGCGTTGCGATGCCAAAAATTTTTGGTCTTGGATACTATAGCCTGTTTGTATTTGATAATTAATGTCTAATTATGAACTAATCAGATTCAATCAGATTCAAAAGTTTGGTCTCGCGATTTCTCACCCAACTGTGCAATTAGTTTTTTTTTATCTACATTTAGTACTCCATACATATGCCGCAAAATTCGATGTGATAGGTACTACGCAAAAAAAATTTGAATCTAAACAGGCCCTTAGACATCTGAAAGCCTTTGCCAAGCAGATAAATCGCTGTGCACAGAGACAGCTTGAAGAGGACAGCACCAGCGATTTTGCACGGGTACATAGATGAATTTTTGCAAAACCTGCTCCCCACTACTCATAGCAGTTCCAGACAAAAGACGCACAATTGCTGTTATCAATTGCGCCAAAAATGCAGCCCATGCCAATGTATTAGACAAGCCGGACTCTGGTGTTCCTAGTTCCTAGGACTTCCTCACTGCTTTCGTTTCATGGATGGACTGCAAAATGACAGTCTACGCAGCAGCAGGGCCTTGTTGCCTGGGGCCATTGTTGCCCTCGACCCTCCCTCCGTTCCCGTTGTTGCTGTTGGGGCGTCGCTGTTGGTAGCCACTGCCAGAGTAGCCGTTGCCGTTCTGCTGGTAGCTATTCCTGTTCTGGTGATAGCCGTTGCCGTTCTGAGGGTAGCCGTTCCCTTGCGGTCCTCGGACACGGCCTGAATAGTCGTTCCTTGTGTTATCTCCATCGTGGTAGTAGCCGTTGTTCTGACCGCCCCACTGCCGCTTGTAGCTGTCCCCATAGTAACCACCTCTGCCAGACTGGAAGCCGTTGCCATTGCCATCCCCACGGGTGATAACACCATCGACAACTGAAACAAAAAAGGAAAAGAAGCACGTCAGTTGAATTCAAACAAAAAAGAATGAACACACAGGCACAAACTAGCTCAAGCACAAGACCAATAGAATTATATCGTCAAAGGTTAGGCAACTGAAAAGGCCCAACAATGGTAAGCAGCTACTAGTTGCTAGAATTTAAATTAATTGGCTATAGAGAAAATGTAGGTAGTTGCACATGAGCTAGTTCGCAGTGTATGGAAATATTTAGCCAGCCAAGGATGGAATGGAACCAAACCAAACTGCAGACACCATCGAGTAAAAAATTCTTGCTAACCAACACAGCCATGACTTCTCTGGGAATATAATTCAGAATTTATGACGGTAACAGGTCAGGGTGCCATTACTTTTACAAAACCACCTATCTTTACAGTGAACATGTCGAGGTAGTATGTCAACAATTATGAACCAAAATATGCTCACTCGCCTAGACTTATGTAGATCAGAATGCTTGCTCACCTCGTGTTTTGGTTCTTTTCTCCTCAACATATGATTCTCTTGTGCCGAAATAAACCGTAGAAGCCTAAAAAAAGGAAATATTATTATTTGTAAATACTGTGAGTCATCATTCAGTTATTCAAACTTTATAAACCCACAGCACATGCACATCGTTCAGCGTAAGTCAAAATACATAGATAAATGTTCTCCAGCTAACTGAAACTACTTCAATCATGTAGCTTACAGACTGCAGATGCCTAGAAAAGTAACCAAATACATGAATGCAACAGAAGAATTTAACTGCAAAGCATGCTCTAAAACAAATCAACTAGACAAGGCAAACATACCTCAATTGCTGCTACCATGGATTGCTGAGACTCAAATTCGACAAAGCCAAAGCAAAACTGATCAGGCTGCAACAACATGAAGAAAATGTCAACAAGTGTAGAAACTAAAGCACATCCCACTCCTCGAATTCTTGTTTGTTTTGAGAAATGTTATGAGTTGATCCATCACCACTTCATTCCCCTTTTGCATATAAGAGCATCTCCAAGAGGCTTTCTAAATCTCACTCTCTAAAATCATCATTTAAGAGAGTCATTTGCATAAAAATCGCTTTCTATATCTTTTCACCCTCCAACAGTTTTTCTATATCTCGTGGGCACTATAAAGAGCTATTTTCGTCTTCTATTTTTTGCTAGCGAAAAATCAAGAATAGAAGATGGGTATATTTTGATAACCATTTAGAAAAGCTGTTGGAGGGTATTTTTTCACCAAAATCTCTATTCCTAGCATTTAGAAAGGATATAGAGAGTCTCTTGGAGTTGCTCTAATTAGTATAAACATGATGAATGGGGCCATCCCACCAAAATTCATAGAATCGCCTAATGATGGATCAACCCCTCAAAACCAAACACCCATAAACCTACAACTTAAACTAACCTGGCATTTGACTTGGATACCACCAGATTTTATAGCACCAAACTTGCTGAACTCTTGTTCAACCATTTCAACAGTTGCGTCGAAAGGTAGATTCTTAACAAAAATTGAGTACCCTGTCTCTGCAAAGTAAGGTAGCATTACAATTCAGAATAAACACCATTATTTTCTTGTTTCTTTAAACAAGAAACTGAAGTAGAAAAGAGAAACTAACCATCAGGTGATTTATTTTTAGGAACACTTTTATCGCCTGGGAGGGCATTATCAGTAGCATGAGCAGGTTTTGAAGGTGAGGACACATTTTTCTCCACATTTTGAGCCGCCTTTGGCCTTGGATTGGGTTTGGCGGGTCTGGCAGCTGGGACAGGCTGTGTGCTCTCCCTCATGGTTTTAACCTACAAGTCACCAACAGACAATACAAATAAATATGCCAACACGCAATTCGCCAGATGATTGAAAAAAGCCAATATAATAACTCGGACACATTAGATACTTGCAGCGGTAAAAGGTACATGAAAGTAAAAAAAAAAAAAAACTCACAATTGATGCATAAGTCTTCCTAGTTACTTCCTTCTCATCTGATGAGGGAGGAGCTGGAGCAGCCTTCACAACTGGTGCGCGAGGAGCTGGAGCAGCCTTCTCAACAGGTGCGGGAGGAGCTGGAGCAGCCTTCTCAACTGGTGCGCGAGGAGCAGGAGCAGCCTTCTCAACTGGTGCGCGAGGTGCTGGAGCAGCCTCAGGAATCTTCTCCAAATCCTTGTTAACTGCTTTCTCAGCAGTAAGAGGAGTTGAAGCCTCAGGTATCTTCTCAACATCCTTGTTAACCACTTTCACACATGTCTCAACAACAGGATCATTTTTAACTGGAGAAACAACATTTGCAGAGGTGCTGACAACTTCATCATTGGGCAGGGTAGTAATCTGTGTGCTTTTATTATCATGGTTAACTACAACTTCCTTCACCTCAGTTGAAATCTGGGTAAGTCTGAACATATCATTCAAAACATAATAGCCTCTATTTTCCTGTGGAGCAAGAAAGAATGACTGTGTGAACTTCTGTTTCACATCATCCGTTGTAAAATATCCAGCAACCAAAATGAGCACACCATCCACATGGGATGGCTGTGCATCAACAGTCTCTATCTCTATCAAACAGTCAGCTAAGTCTGTAGACACAAGTTGCTCCTTGATATCCTGTTCAAGCACATAAAACAAATTGATCATCCCATCAGAATCAACATAGAAATAAAAAAGCTATTACTGATTTATACAAGATAAACAATAAATCAGAGCTAAAAATCATAATTTCAAGTAATAGTCCATACTCCACCCATTCACTTGTTACTCCTACGTTTGAAGTGACTAAATTCATTTGTTACTTCTATACATATCGAGATAAGGCATTGCCAAGTTTGTTCAATTTGAAACCATGATTTAATCGAGACAGGAGCCTATGGGAGTGTTTGGTTTGATCTATGGAGTGGCCCACCACTTCTCTTTTTTCTAGTTTAGGAAATGGAATGGGTTGATCCATCACCACCTCATCCATAAAAAAAATTAGGAATCATCGTAAAAGAACAATTTGTTGGCCATGATATACTAGCGTAGTTAGGCCTATCAACCATATATTTGATTAGCTTCTAAATTAATAAGGAAGATATGAAACATGTCATCAAAATTTACATACTGACATTGAAACCAGACAAAACTTCCATATTCCAAAGTTCCTAGAATCCATTGATAGCACTACCATCATGGCATTGTGGAGAACTTACATCAATTGTGGTTACATACATCATTTTCCCATTAGAATCTGTCCGACCAAGAATACTTGAGTCATTATAGAACTTATAGGCATCCTCTTGTGCGTAACGAAGAGTTCGGTAGTATTGTTTAACGAATGCATTAGCAACCTGTAAGCAGAAATATCATTACTTTCAGTCCAACTCTGATATTATTGACAAACGTAAAGGTTAATTAAGGGTTGAAAAACAATACCACTTGAGGAGTAAAAGAAGTAGCTGGGCTCCCAGCTTCCAAGGCCATCGCTGCACAAGGTATAGCAAAATTAGTACTTATAAGCCCCTTGAAGTAGACTGTTAGGAGATGCATGATTATCCAGTGTAATGAAAAGATTAACCAAGAAACAAGAAAAGATTCTATCTAGTTTGCCAAGCAACCAAGTAGGAAGGTTACTGAAACCTTGAAAAAAAAGCAGTAAGCAACCCCATGGTAAACAATCCACCAACCTATGTAAGGATATAGTTACCATCTCTTTCTTCAGAAAGGTAAAGGAAGACAACTGAACAATATCCATATCCATAGCCATAGCCATTGAGGAAAAAAGATCGAACTTCTGAACCAAGGAAATAATTTAAGTATAAAAAATAAGTAATTATTAAGTCTTACTACATCCCTTGTACAAATTTAGGTTGTACAAAAGATGTTTAATTTGACAGAAGCTTGGTGCTGGCTGCCAAGTGACAACTGACATCCAGAAGTACAAACAGCAGGAGACAGCATGATGGCAGTTCACGAATTCATGTTTCCTTCTTAATACACTGATAACCAATACGAGAATTGCACTAGATTTGCAACGTTGCGCATTTTCATACAGTACTAGGAGCCGCCACTAGCTTAGCAGCAAATCAAACCCAGACAAATAAAGTTTACAATTTTACACTAAATCTGCGCTGCATACCCCAAGAAACAATTCAACCCAGACAAATAAAGTTTACAATTTTACACTAAATCTCCGCTGCATACCCCAATAAACAAAGCTAGCTCACTGTTATGTGAGCTAAATGTCCACTTTAGCATCAAACAGCCCTTTTCACCACAAGAAACATAAATTCCATCTAATCCTACACAGGTGTTGGATCATTTTTCACCACAAGAAACATAAATTCCATCTAAACCTACACAGGTATAGGAAGCAAGAGGATCTGATCGTCATGACGTCATCAGAACAAAAACAAAGACTCCGGCCAGAACCAAAACACGAATTCCAATCTACTAAACCCCTCGATTGCAAAATAATATCGCTACGAAAGAAACTACCCCCTCCCCAATTCGCAATCTACAGCCACTGGATTCCGAAGTAATCTCGCTACTAAAACAACGCACCACCACAGTCGAGACAACCCGATCGCCAGTAATACACACATTCAAGCTTATGCGAAAGAGGAAAGAGGAAAGAGGAAGGGATGTGAACCTTGGGAGCGGGAAGGCCCACGGAGACGGCGCCGCCACGAGACGACGCCGCCTTCGCCTGCGACGGGAACAGCAAACCCTAGCGAGTCGACGCGAGGCGAGTCGGCGGCGCGAACAGAAGCGAGCCGCGGACGCCGGGGCGTGAAGGGTTTATAGCGAAACAGGACAAGAGGGTTTCGAAAAGGGTTTAGTGAGGCGCGGGGAATAACTTAGTCAAGATCGAAGATCGAACCAAAAAAGCGAGGCCCAAGATCGAAAAGTTTACCATGAGTTCGACTCTGACTAACCAAAAATGGGAAGAAGTTCGGTCAAATTACCATGGGCTAAAGTAACAACGCGTGATCGACTTCGTTCAGTAATGTCATTATGTGTGATTGTGATTTATGAGTGCTAGAACTTGTTATAATAACATGTTGTTTGTTTTATATATTGGTTGTTATTTTTTGCCGACGATTTCATTTCCTTCCCAGTCACGCGTGCACCGAACTTCCTTGGTCTTTGTTTTTTAAAGACCGATCGGTCTCGGGCCAACCATGATAATTTAGGGCCCATGTTACCATGTTTCTCTGACTTTCGTCTAACTTACCCTGATCGGAGGGTGCGGTTGGGTGTTTCGGCGTTTCGACGTTTCATTTCTTCCCAGATCTTGCAAAGCCCGCCAACCATGAACATGTGACTTTTCCCAGCTGATCTTGGCATTCCCAGCCCATTAAGTTGTAGCGGGGGACGGACGGTCGCCGGTGGCCTCGCCATTCCAATTTCCACTCCGATTGGCCTGTGGCCACTGGCCACCACCACCACCACTTATAACTGCTCCAATGCCGCTGCGGGGCCGCCGTCGGTCGTTCCACCTCTTGCAGTGGTGGCGTCAGATGATGAATTTGACGAGGAGGGTGGAGGCGGCGATGCGTTCTCCGAGATCGCGATCGTCAGCTCACCGTTCCTAGCCAGCTGGCAGTGGCGCGCCGACCGCGTGCTCGACGAAACGCTTGTGAGGCTTGCGCGCGCACTGGGCGTGGCGCCGGAGGGCGCTTGCTCCTATGCGCCATTGCCTGGCTGGGAGAGCAGCGTCTCGCATCTGGGCCGCGCGTGTTAGCTGGCGGCGTCGCCCACCATGGGTGCCAGGTCCTGTTTCAGATGACTCGCTGATGGGGACGATGTTAAACCTATTGCTTCCGCTGACATGGCGGCGCCGGCATTCCATGTGCGGTGCCGAAAGGCTTCCTCCCAAGCTCAGGACTGTTCGTCCTTGGCGATGACGCGAGCTAACCGCACGGGGGGCCGTGGCAATACACATGTCCGAGCCGATGAATCTCCGACTGGTAAAGTTAACAGTGCCATTGAAACCTTAGCCGTGCTGAAAGTCTGAACTCTGAAGGGGCATCGAATGCCGGAGTTCTGTGAAAGTCGTTGTCAGATAACTCCGGGAGGTGGATCATTGCAATCTTGGGCTATTCACTGTGCGGGCACAGTTTGGAAAATGGCAGGCAGGCATGCCGGTCTGGGATTGGAGTTGGAGGTACGCCTTGCTCTGTCACTTTCAGCAAATGCCTGTCCCGTCCTGTCCTTGTCTGTTCAATTCATCTCTCTGCTCCCAATTTGCATCCGGTGTCATATCCCGTGTCCTACATGATCTGGCACTGCAGTGTTAGATGTCTTCACACCACTTATCGATTCCGTTTACTTTGGGGAGGGTAGTGGCTCGTTTTGTTGATCATGTGTGAATGCAAGGTTGGAACTGTTGCATTCGTTTGGCTAAATAGTAAGACAGTTTGGACTACAGTTTTATTAGAACCCCAGTTTGGTGTCATTAGCACTCTGCCAGAGTGGCAGAATCGCAGAAGACATCTTGTTGTCTATAATAGTATGAGATGTTCCTAAACTATAAAAGCCAAATGGTCCCTGCTTCATGAAAGAAACAACGGCTTGTGTAATTGTGCGGCATGATTCAATCAAAACAACATCACACCATTAGACAGAAGTTAAATAAGAATATTATATTTATATTTCTTGCTTCTTCTGGCAGCAAGACTAGTGTTGAGGATCATTTATACTCCTTCTACAGTTTAGTCTTCAGAAAAATAGAAAATGTCACATTTACTAGTTGCTACTTGCTATAAGCTTCTTAATGGAAATGACTACTACAGCGCATATTCAGTTTATACTACTGAAAGAAAGCTGCCTCTGCAGCTTCCTTTGTACAAATTGCATCTTCTCTGTAGTCTCACCGCCGATGACCTCATCGATAAGGCCCTTGAAGATGGATCGTTCAATTTCCCAAACCATGCCATGTAGCACAGTGTCAAAGCTCATCCAGTCTTTCGTTCCACTGACTGTATCCTCGTCTAATATCATGTTTTCATTCTCCTCCTCCTCGGAGCATTTTATTAGCCTGTCAACCTCAGTGCACAAATCCTTGAATAGTTGCCACCCACTTAACTTCCTTGATTGAAGAAACTTTACTGGCTGGCTTCCAGATCTGCAGATGCTCATCTTCTGAGCTATTGTTTCGTTTACCAGGTCAAACACAAGTCTTCGGTGAAGCTTCCCTGTGTAAGGTTTACATCTTTTCTTAGCTCTGTTGACAGTTTGGAAGGTGGAAACTAAGTCTGGTTTTGTTTGCTCAAGAATGAGGAAGAGCTCCGGATTGATTGGATAATTTGATGGTTGGAGTTGACCAGGTAATGCTGCAATACTATGTTCTTTGTGCAAAAGACCAGATGCCAACAGTATCTCATAGATATACTGGTGATCTTTATTTGTAGTGACTGATGCCATGACTTCTTTGATGCTTGCAGCTTCTTCGTCCATTGATTTCAGTTGCTCAAGCTTCTGGATCAAAACTTCCAAGTTTTCTGGTTTAATCTGGTTGACTTCACTGCTCGCTTTTGACTGTGGCGTGTCAGGCAGGCTGTTTGGGTTCCAGCATTCCTCTGAAGAATGTGTCTCACCATCTGAACAGGTAAAAGGGTATATTCAGAAAACAATTCCTAGTACAGTGCAGAACAATTTAATGTACCAAACGAAAATACAGAGTTGGCTGCCAGACAATTCAACTGAAGAAAACATGTATCAGACAGGAGAGACGAAAACACTGTCCACCTACAGATCCAAACGGATCATACACACTAGATGTATTTGTATAGGGGACATTGGTGGGCACATCTATGAGCATGTATGCACACCAAAAGACACATATCATGCTCCTGCATAAGCAGTGCTGCATGTGGGGATGCAGCCATGCACTGTTCCTCCTAATTGCAGGACCACGAGCTACCTGGTAGCTTTTATTGCAGATTATCTGTCACTAGCGTTATCAGCATGCTGACAGCTAGCTATGCTTGTCCTTTTAGAAACACTATGGGTTTCTGAATTGAATAAGACCAAACCAAAGGATCTATATCATGCTAATGTTCTTGCTTGAAACAGGCGGATATCTAATGTAAATTAATACTGGTAACTAAGAAAATAACTTCTCACCTTTGAATGAATCTGAGATCCTTTTATGATAGAAGGATGTATCAAGGACAGAGACAGGGCTTGGAATGTTGTCCAGTGAATGAATGTTTTGGTCTGAACCCAAAATTGAAGGAGCCTGAAAGGGGATAGAGAGGAATCGTTCATTAGTAAAGTAGTGGTAAATGATGAAAACAGGATGCATGAAAATTGTAGAATTAGATGGATTATTGGTATGAACTTTCTTTCCGTTTTATCTGTACCTTGTGACTTGCTGTTGCAGCAGCATTGCTTGGTGGAACGAAGGTTGAGTTGCCACCTGGAGGCTTTGGACAATCCATAACGCTGACATCAACCTGCTTTGCTAAGCTTATTCT